GCCAACATTGCCATTTTGGACTTTAAACATATGCCTCTCTTAATCTTGCACAGCTGAACTTCCATGCAACCGAAAGGATACGCCATTAACAGGATTTAAAAAGAATAATCAACTCTCTTCGGGTTTGTTGATGGCTAATTTTTCTCTGGTCGTTGCCTTAAGTAGACAAGCGATTGGTGTTTTCAACGGTAGTGTAAATTTGCAATACTGAACAGAAAGTGTGTGGAAAGCACTCGAGTGTTTTGGCTATCTCTTTCTGCACAAACCAGCTGCTTACAGATATTGGTGTATCAGTAGCCATTCCTCTTGGATTAAAACAAAAATAACTGGAGGAAGGAATAGAGACCACACAGTGCGGCACAAGCTGCTTCAAGAAGAGGGAAAGAGGATGAGGAGAAGGATTCTTAGTAGGAGGCTATATTTATTCAGGATGTAAAAGGGGCATTTGTTCTACCTGAGCCTTAGTGAGGAACAACCCGTGATATCTGCACTTTAGTAAGGATATCCTTGCAAATATCTGTCACTTACTGCAGCTGCAACAACCACCTCACAGGTGGGGACAGACCACACCACTACCTGTAAGTTTCCCTCCAAGTAACACAGCACCCTGACTTGGAACTACATCAATGTTCCTTCACTGTAGCTGGGGCAAAATGCTGGAACTCCCTTCTTAACAGTAATGTGCACGTCCCTACGCCCCAAGGATTGCAGGAATTCAAGAAAACAGCTCACGGCCACCTTCTCAAAGGTATTTAAGAATGGCAAACAAATGCTGGCCTAGCCAGAAACATTCATATCCCATGAATGAATATTTTAAAAAATTGCCATTGGCTGTGAAGATGAATAGGAAGAATATTTATGCATCTGGTTTCTTACCTGAGAGAAGCAGATGAAGCATGTTTTGTTAAGATTACTGGATGCACACACATTGCTTTCTAGGTTCAGCATGTCACGTGTGGACTGTACTGAAATCAAAAGGATTTCACTTCATCAGCACGCAGCTCATGTGTGATCACAGGTAGAGAATCATGCCGGTCAATGTCTGGTATCCCAGCAGCTGTCATCATGCTTGTATTTTGCAGCAGTGCTGTGTGAGTTATATGCAGAAGCAACATGGCAAACCAGACTGTGATCACTGAGTGACCAGAGCTACTAGCTGTGATATCATTCATGGCTTTGTTGTGCAGCCCACACAAATGCACAATATGCAGATAGTGAAAGTCAGACTGTCACATAATATGTAAGAGTAGAATACTGATTACTGTTCCTGACGCCTTATGTAAGTCTTTTGATTCAATCTGGAATGCTTCCCATTAATAACATTGTTTTTAAAAAACTTTTAAGCCATTTATACTACATCTTTTTTTAAAAAAATTCTCTTCATTTGCCTTTAAAGTATCACCTAAGGTCTGCTGGAGATCTTAAAAGTCATGATCATTGCATTTTAGTTGACAATTAGTTTGGAAGCAAGCTTGAACTTTTCAATTTTTGGAGTTAATTTATCTCATACTTTGATGTTCACTGATTGTGTTCCCAACTGTTTTCCAAATGTCTTTGAATTGTACTTCTTTTAAGAATCTTCGCCACATTCCCTGAAGCCAAAGCTAAACTTTACGGGTTAGCCTTTTTATTAAGCAGTGTTATGTCAGCTGCTTTATGTCTCTAAGCTGCTATAAAGTATTTCTGGCCAGCAATTGCACTGTTTCGTTCTAAATTTTCTTTTTATCATTGGGTGGTTATCACTAGATCCATAGAGAATTACTTTCTTCATTTATAATTTCATAATGATAATCTCTCTTCTCACTGGCTCTGACTACTAAATCTAACTTCCATGAGTAGTTTAAAATTAATTTTATCTGTCCCTTTCCTTCTGTCCTCTTCTTATGAAGGAATTGACTAGGTATTAAGGATGCTGTTTGTAGCTTGTCCCATTTTCATTGCTAATGTGTTTCCACTTATGCAGTGCTTCCTAGCGAAGTTTGAGTTATAAGGATAATCTTAGTAATCCACAAATGCATACTTTTACAGGGGTGGTCATTGGTTAATGATTAGGAGTTAGATTCTGGCTGATTTCCTTTCTGTAAGTAAGTAATCCTGAGACTGGCTATAACAATGGTAAAACAAAGTGAATAAGTTTCCCACAAATAAGTTTTCCACAAAATAGCAGATACTATACTTCATAATTTTTCAATGTATGTTGTGCTCTGATATTTTTTGACACAATACATATCTAATGCTTAAAGTAAATTAGCACAGATCAGGATCAAACCTACTACCTACCTGGAATGTATAGCTCCGATACTGAATGGATAAACTCACTGACTCATTGGGGAGTGGATAGTTTTGTGTATTCTAATGAATTATCTTCAGCAAAACTGAAGAGTAGTAACATCTCTACATTTTGTGGTCCTTATGCATGATTTTCCTTAAAGCTGTTGAGCAGTTTGGGTGCTATATTGATGCAACAGTGAACGTAGATACTAAACAGGTTTGAATGTTCAAATTTAACATGTGATTTTGGGTTTAAATTGCTGATTATCACAATTTTGATTTGTCTAGAGGTGCTAAAACAAACTTCTGAGGATTTAGAACTCAATTGCTGATCAGAAGCAATTTTCATGAAGAAATATGTTTGGAGGTTTCACATACCCTCTTATAGAGTAGCTGAAACACACTGGCAGGTTTCATGGAGCCTCAGCAATCAAGAGAGAGAGTGAGCAGGTCTTCAGATGTAGCACTGGTGGATCTGAGAAGAAGAGATGTCCTGTACTCATGGAGACAAAGGAGTCCAACTCCCATTCCTGGCCCCCTCTCCAATCACATGTGGGCTGGTTCTGACTAACCTTATGTCCTACTCTTCTGCCGATGAAGATGGAACCCTAGCAAGGTATCCAGGATGAAGCAATTCCCTTCTCTTGGTAATACCTATAATGTGTTCATGAAGAATTTATCTGCCTCAGATGAAATCTTCAGAGAAATTTCCGATTTTCTCATTTTGAAGACCTGACAAGCAGTCCAGGAACATTTTCTGATATGTTTCAAATCTCATCCTAAAACCTGCAAGTGAATCGTAAAAGATGAATATGTCTTGAAGTTGCACTTGAAATCATCAGTAACAATTTGTTAATTCCCAATCAGCTGTTTGGAGGCAGTGTTAGTTCAAAGACTAGACATCAAATTGTCATGTTGTCTTATTAATGAGCATTAGCAAGCAGTTGGGAAATTGCTCTATGGAAAATCTCAAAGAAATCTATTGAAATGCAGGAACAGGTAGTCATGTTTTTCGAACCCACATCAGATGGCCTAGCAATCAAGGCTGACCAGTAGATGTTTTTTGAACACTCATTGATAATTTTAAGCTATTTTTATGTTTAATGAACCAAGGTCTTTAAAATCTCTCAGATAATAACACTTAAGGAGAACTTTGCAGCCTTTCCAATGTGTCTCCATCTACACCATCAAATCAAGACTCTCCCACTGCAGATCACTACTGTTGGAACAACCAAAATGAGCTCTGTTTGAATTCAAATGGCCCTCCTGAGTTTACAATACCCCTCCTGTGTGCATCAGGCTCCATTCCTTTCTCCCATTGGCAAAAAATGGATTAATTGGAAATGGGGTTTTGACCTCTGCACACAGGTCCTGCTCACTATTTTTAAAGGTATATGGTGTCTCCCTAATTCTATGAAAACATGGCCCTAAATTAGAAGGTACTGTAACCTGTGTGGCTAAGAGCAGGAATCTGCAAAGCATATAAATTAAGTGAACAGGCAAAACTGTGACAATTGGAACTCAGTGGTGGAGGGTGTGAGATCATTCATTTTTGATTTGAGCAATATGAATTGGAATAATTTTTTCAATGGTTATGTCTTGGAGCTATGAAGAAGCAAAAGGATTTGGTATCCATGTATGCAAATCACTAAGAAACAAATGCACAAATACACACACTGATTTTAAAAAGAAGTGGTATTTTCGTCACTATATCAAGACGGTTTGAATACAGAGTTTCAGTTGTAAAGAATTTCAATAAAATACCCTACTTGAATTTAGCTTTCAGTTTCAGGCACCTCACCCCCAGAATTATACCAGAGCATATTGATGAGATTATAAAAATGAAAACTAAATTTAATCAGTTTGATGCACTGAAATTATTTCTTCTGATGAGGGAATTCAAAATAATAATGCACAACCTTAAGATAGAGATAGGTTATACAGGAGCGAAATCAAGGGATACTTTTCCAGACAGAGTTTAGTGGAATCCCGGCACTCTGTTTCTTAAAAGGTAATAAATGCTGGTTCGAATGAAATTTTCATGATTGGGATTAATGATTTTTAAGGGATATGAAGCAAAAACATATGAATGGAGATCACATACAGAACACCCAAGATTTAAGTGAAGGATAGAACAGGTCTGAGGGGATGAATGATCTTTGCTCAAGATGCAATGCTGTTAAAATGGGCATAACATAGCATTTATCCCATATGTGTGGTATTTGCTGTTGGTTTTTGCTATCCTTGTAATTTTGTTCTTGTTTTAATTCTTATGTATTACCTTCGTCTACTTCAATTTAGAAAAGTTTATCCTGTTGACCTAACAATTTATATATCTAAATGTTAAAGTACCAAATGCATAATAATGAACTTAGTTCAGCCAAGTGTATCAAATTAATTCTTTAAATCAGTCCAGTGCAGTCCATGCACAGAAATCTTTCGATGTCAATTTACAGTTCTAGTTGTAAATGGTAGTGTGTTTTATACCGGTTTGAGTATGTACATTACTATCACGGATATATTCAAAAGAAACAGCTCCTCTTTAATTGTCTTAGATGGGCCAGTGGAAAAATGTTCTCTTTTAGATATTCCAGCCTTGTCATAATAGATAAATTGCTATCAGGGTTGTTAGTAAAGAAGGTTATTGTAGCATTGTAGAAATCAACCACATTTTTATTTGAGGGCCTACCAAACTAAGTTGCACCAGTGAAACTGAGTTTTTTTTACAGAAACTACATGGGACTTCTTCCAAAGGCTGGAACACTTTAATAAGGTATGTAGAGAAGATTTAATTTCTGACAGCTTTGAATTATGGCCTACAAAGGCAAAGCAAGTGGGATATACTTTTGATAATGTATTGTAGAAAAATGAGCACTGAATGGAGACAAGATTACATTCAGGGTAAGTTATGTGTGCGAAAATTTTAAAAGAATGCAAAAATAGTTTATGTGAGCTGAAAGAAGGAAAACTGGAGGTTTAACGTGGGGAGTCCCTGTCTATAGCACCCAGACAGAAATAAGCTGGAATTCTGACAAAACAAAAAAAATTAAATTTTTGAGTCTGCAAAATACAGTGCACTCTTTTATAACTGGAGATATCAAATTTGTTATGATAGCAAAGTAAACTCTATGGCAACCGTTGTAATACTCTGGTGCTGACTGCCCGGGAAGGATGGGGAAAGCCGTTTTGTTTGTTATTTCTGGCAGATCTTGCTGGCTTGACTTGCTCTTATTCTGTAGGGGGACCTTTGAGAGCATTCTTTTCCACATGAAAAACTTTGCCAATCTGGCAGGATCCATCACAACCCCAAACCCCTCCCCCCTCCTATTTTCAGCTGTTTGCCTCCAAAATGTCTGATCTCCTAAACACAGAGCATTTATAGTGGCAAAAGTTGTTGGAAAAAATTAAACATGCATGGCCACTTTGCAGAAGATTGTTGTATTGCTTAATAAGGCTTCCCCTCTATAAACAGCTCTTGTAAACTGCTGTGCACAGCTATCTACTGTACTTCTTATTCACTTACTGGCCTGCCAAACTTTAAACCTTTTGATCATTTTCTTCAACTCTGGAACAACTAAAGAAAAACTAATGAGGGTTTGATTTGCAGGTAGCCCTCAGATTTTGACATTCAGCAATTTTTGTGTTTTAATCTTTAATGAAAGCCATACTGGGATTTCTGTTTTGTAAGTGCTGATACTTGTGATGTACTACCAATTGAGGGAAGGGTTTTGTTGAGAAAATGGGAAAACACTAAATAACAACCGCAGGGATAAAATCTCTATTTAGTTCACAGTCTATTGTTAGCATTGTACTCTATGATTGATAAGTTAATGTTATTGTACGGAGTTGCCATGTAATAGAATGTTTTCCCTGATACCACCCACATTCCACAGGCCTCACATTGTTGCTCCTCATTTCACTATGAGTCATTAAAAACTACGAAGGAATTTGTGTGTCCAAAAGGTTACAAGCTTATCTAATCTCTTTTGTTTGTACAGTGAAAACTCTGAATGAAGTAATAATGTCCCTTGGTTCTGGAAGTGTGTTTTCGGAATTCTTACTCAGATGTCAACATTTGACAATGACAGAAATGTTTTTGTATGATGGATAACTCTCATTTGCCTGGAGAACTGCAAAAACAAATTAAACTGCTGATTGTATTTCAGGTCCTTTAAGAGGAGGTACATGACCTTTTCTGTACTGCAAATATTTTCCAATTTGCAATTTTTTAAATGTTAAAAAAAATTGTCACTTTCTTGATGGGTTATGGAAAATGGAAAATTCGCACTAGTGCAGCAGGGATGTCCTGGGAACAGGGCAAAAGTAATGCTTAAAAAGTAACAAGTGTCCATTTTTTTTTAGTAAATCTGCATCTTTTAACTAAATCTACTATATTAACCAGGTTGACTTTTTTTTTTCTGTAAGTTATTAGATGCACCAAAGCAAAAACTGTGAGGGCCATATGTTTGTCGATCAAGACGTGACGTTGCAAGTTGCAGTATATCTCCAGTGTCGTACCTGGGAAACAGCACTGGAGAACATAGTGAGGTCATTTAGAGAAGGCAGTCTCACTGCATGACTTTCACAAGACATGGAAGATGTGATATTGTGAAAACAAACTGTGTGTGCATAAGTTCTTCTGGATTTTGTGCATTTCCTGGCATGGGACTCAACTGCCAGGGGGACATATCAAGATTGCAGTTGTGTAACACCACAGTTTTTTTAAAAATTAACAGATAGAAAATGGTAGAGAACACACATGCAAGTTCCATACATGCAGCCCTTAATTACATTTATTTATGTTTGGAGAGCTACATAGGGAGATTTATCTGTATAATGTCAACCAGAGTTTGTTTAAGTGTTAAGAGAGTGTCTCCTGTTGCATCTGTGCTCAGTATATTTAACTGGTGGATGTGGATGTTCTGCACATATGTGTAAGCGTTTGTGCAGATCTCTGCTGGATCCGGCAGCCCAACCACAGGCAGACAATCTGAGACTGGTAGCTACACAATAGTTGAACTTCTAACCGTGAAATTCCTGGAGTCTTTCAGATTATCTAGTATGAAAGATACATAAAATTTAACTTATTCGATTTTAAAACATATGATTTTTTTTCCTGTTGGAAACGATTCAGAATCTCAGAATACTAAAGTGGTTTAAAGTAAAGAACAGAGAAAAATTTCCACTGAACTGTGCAAAGAGAAAGCAACGGCAATATGAGGAGAATTGTTTTGTGTGCTGTGAGGTTAGGATCTGGAATGCATTGCCTGAGAGTGTGATGGAGGATGGTCCAGTCATGGCTTTTAAAAGAAAATTGGCTATTTACTTGAAAAGTGGGACTAGGTGAGTTTGGACTAGCGAGAGCTGGAAAATACATGACAGGCTGAATGGTTACAGCACAGAAGGTGGCTATTCTATGATTCTACTTGGAAATTGGTAAATCTTCCTTTAAACACATCACAGAGGAAATCTTCCTCACTGTTCCATCAAGTTACGAATGTTTACCAAGATCTTTACATTCAGGAGTGCAGGAATCATCAGTTTTTTTACAGCTCTGTAAAGGCATGTTGAAGCAATTAGTAAAGGAAACTGCAGGTGACAGAGAAACTAGTTTGAGCTTTCCCTCGGTACTAGCACTCTCACTTCTCAGTTGTGGGTCAAATCCCACACCAGGAACTTGAATTCAGAACCAATGCTGACACCGGAGTGCCATACGAAGGGAGAGATAGGAGCTGTCTTTTTGATGAGCTGTTGAACCAAGTCTGCTCTCAGATTTCACTGATCAGAAATGACTGAAAATATTGGTGAAACATATCTTTTTGCATTAATCTGGGGCTTTGTGTCAAACAGCAAAATCCATTCAAAGGAAAGGATTTTGTTCAGTGTGGCTGCTGATAGCAAGGCAGATAGTCAGTCAAAGTTATGAATGCATTGTCAGCATTTTGCCCCGCGCTGGAAAATTTTCAAACCACAGCAACTGACGCACAGTAACGACTGCTGCAGAGTACCTGAAAGCATGCAAACACCACCCACAAGTTTGCCATTGCTGTATGGTTTCACAGTCAAATGGTAACATACTCAGTTTTAATACTTTTAGGGCGGGGAATGCCAAAGCAACATTTTGTAGGCCCTCATATTTGTGGGAAGGAAATTGAGGTAGAAGTTGGATGTGCCACGCTGGCCAGGTATGCCAGAAATGCAGTGCCATAATATGCTGACAAATTTACTGACATGACCTCCTTTTTGACTTTTTCCTCTTTCTGTTTCCCGGCTGTCAATCATCCACATTCAGAGGCTTCTGGCTAGAGTGGGAAGCATGTGCTGAAGGTCACAGCCAATGAGTAGGAAGAAGGCAGGCAGTGGCATCATGGGTTGGTAGACGAAGACATCACAGAGGGACAGATCCTAGCAGGAGATTACGGAGTGGGACTTGTGTTTGTTGGTCTGTCAGCAGGCCCTTTGTCGGGAGTGGTGCATGGGATTGCAATGTGGCTGCTTGTTTATGCAGAAGGAAGGCTGAGCTCTGCAAATTATTTGGGTTGGGGGTTAGGTGCAGGTAACGGATAAGACAAAGGGTAGTAATCACTCCTGCTTCTGAGCTTCACTCAGCTGCCATGTTTCGGAGAACCCTGGGAGACCCAATTGGCAACCATTAAATCTAAACGGCGGTTGCAAATTGGAGGCATACAGCATGTGATAACTGTTTTCACATGCTTTCCAACCACAGTTCACCATCCCTACTCCCCCTGCCACCATCCATTCCCCAAACCCTTATAGGTTGCTGCATTCAAACCTGATGTAGCAATTCTTGCAGTTAGAGACAGTAAGAACTGCAGATGCAGGAGTCAGAGATGACACAGTGTGGAGCTGAAGGAGCACAGCAGGCCAGGCAGCATCAGAGGAGCAGGAGAGTTGACTTTTCGGG